AACCATCTGAATTTTTTTGCAGGTGCAATTATCATCTAAATGGTATCATAAGCCGTCATTTCTAAGTTTCTAATTTTACCCTACCCGCTCAATATTAGATAAGCCACAACTAGACTTTTCATATCCTTTACAAGAATACCACCACGTTTTGTTTAGCCTTTTATCTATTCATCTTATTTTTAATCAAGGGTTGTAATTGGTCCTCATGTTCATAACGAAAATGAAGTTATCAATTGAATCCACTCCTCTCTTTCTCTCTCTCTCTCTATATATATATATGTATACATACATATATGTATACATATATATATATATATATATGCATGCATGCATGCATGTATGTATGTATAAAGGAGCATTCAAATACAAAACGTCTCAATTTATACAAACCATACAAAATAATAACAACCAATCACATAATTTTTTTTTGTTTATAAAGGTATTATGGTTTTTTGAGATTACAATAGTTATGTTTGGTAAGTATTTAATACTAATAGATAAGTTTGGTAATTCTTTAACTTTATATAAATATGGATTATATCTTGATTAGTTAACACATTTTTAGTAAATATTTTATTGATTTTATCCATTAAATATGTTGATGCAAATTGCCATATTTGAAATATGTGCAATAATTGTTGATTAAATAATATTTTTATGTTTCATCAATTATTAAAACATCCCCCTTTTTATAGTTTCTAGAAAACTCTATTTCATCATTAATAGTTTCATTATGTTTCATCATTAACAGTTTCATTCTGTTTCATTATGTCCAATGTCACAGTTTCATTTTGTTTCATCATTAATATATTTATCATTAACAGTTTCATTCTGTNTGTCCAATGTCACAGTTTCATTTTGTTTCATCATTAATATATTTATCATTAACAGTTTCATTCTGTTTCATTATGTCCAATGTCACAGTTTCATTCTGTTTCATCATTGATATATTTATCATTAAGGTGACGTTTGTTTTTTAAGAGGTGCTGAAGTCTGAAGTCTGATTTCACCTCTGATTTTTAAGAGGTGGTGCTGAAGTCTGAAATCTGAATCAGTCAGACTGTTTGTTTTTACGTCTGAAATCTGAAATCTGAATCAGTCAGACTGTTTGTTTTTACGTCTGAAGTCTGAAATCTGAATCAGTCATACTGTTTGTTTTTGTTTGTTTTTACGTCTGAAGATTGATAAACTTTCTTTTTGAAACATATGAAAAATAGTTTTCCTAAATGATGGTCTTCCCTAGAATCACCACACACAAAACCAAAAACCAAAAACCACTTCAACTCCTCATCTTCCTTCTCAGCTTCTCTTCTTCTTTGCTATCATCGTCCTCCTCCAATCCTAATCTCTCATCCCTTCCATTTCCTCTTCTTTGCAATCATATATATATATATATGAAGAACACAAATCCATGTACATATATATATGTGTGAAGAACACAAATCCACACACACACACACACACACACATATTTATATATATATAAAGAACACAGATCCATTAAAGAAGAACACAGATCCATTGCGTGAGAGAGCTGGAGATCAGTGAGCGACTGTGAGATTGAGCGATGCTAGAGATCAAGAGCGACTCATGCTTCCTGTTGTGGGTTTTCAGAGAGATCGAGAGGAAGAAGAAGAGATCGAGATCCGGAGCTTCAGGTGTTTCAGATCGAGAGTGAGATCGAGAGCTGAAATGAGATCTGGAGGAGACTTCTGAATTTGAGAGGCGAGAATGAAGTCGAGATTGGGAGCGAGATAGGGAGGAGGCGTCTGAAAGCAATTTCAGAGTCACACTTTTCACTTAAAATTCAGATGATTTTAAGAGGTTTTAAGCTTTTAATTTAAAAAAAAAAAAAAACAGTCTGAAATGGTATATGTCTGACCGAATCAGACTTCAGACGTAATTAAGAGGCGAATTTTGAAAAACAAACAGGCCCTAACAGTTTCATTCTGTTTCATCATTAACATATTCATCATTAACTGTTTCATTATGTCCAATACAGTTTCATTCAGATTCATCATTAACAGTTTCATTATGTTTTATCGTTAACACTTCTAAATAGCCTATTGTCAAATCATTAACAGTTTAATAGTGTCCAATGAAATGTTGATGGGATTGAATGCAAGAAAGGGATTTCAATGATCGCAATAGTTTAAATTTGTTCCCGTTTTGCCCTTTCTTGTTGAAAATAATAATAATTTATTTTCTTTTATTTTTTTACTTTACAAAAATAAATTGTTGTAATCGTGGTCTTTGATCATGAAAATTGATGGATTATGCAACCCTTTACATTTGTACAACCAATATAACTCAATCTTAACCGTTCATTTAATTTGATGAATATGTGATTTCAATCATTTCATAAAAGTTTTGATTGTTTCTTAATATAACGTATTGATCATAATTAATGAGCTTTAGTCATCTTCCATAAATATTCAAATCATAATAATTGAACTCTTATCATTTTCATAAATATCTCAATTGATTGGGTTGCATTGGTTGTACAAATAGACATGTTACATTAGAAATATACCCTATATATATAGGGTTGAGTTCATGTGAGATCAAGGATTTTTTCGTGAAACCCGTAAGACAAATTTATGTTTATTGATCAACTTTATAAGCTAATGATTTAATGGTCTAAAGTTGCACGGTGATAATTTTGTGATTATTGAGAAGTCTCGTGGCAATTTTGTGATTATGAATGTTCAGATTATAGATCTAATCTAAGGGTTGAGAATTGGTCTTACGGGTCTCACGAAAAACCTTTGGTCTCACATGATCCCAAGTCTATATATATACATATATGTACATAGGGGCACGTTCAAATGAAAACCGTGCATTTCTAAGAAACCATGTAAACCAATTTCGACCAATAGGAAAATTCCATTTTTTTTTCTAATTAAATTTAATCAATAAGGGTATTTCAGTCATTTACAATATTTTCTATTAAATATAGAAGTTATTAATAAATCTTAATCAAGGAAACATAATAAAAAAATTGTATAAATGGTAACATTTAAATATTTAATTATATTATAATATTAAAAATTTGAATTTCATATATTGTAATATTTAAGAATCAGCAAACGGGTCTTGATGAAATAATTGAAGTGTATAATGAAATCATCAAATCGTAGATGAACAAAAAAAATCCATAAATGAAACAGGTTTCATGAACGTGAAACTGGTTCATGTTGCAAATAAATTATGTGAACCGAAACATTTTCATGGTGAACCCGTTGCATTGATTGTGTAGTTGATCAATTTAGTTGGTGAAGAGGAAAATGAAACCGGTGCATTTTGTATTTGGTGCGTCATGAACTAAGTGCATGATGAAACGAGGAAATGATTTTAATCTGCTATAGAATCTTGAAGATTGTAACCTACTCTAGAATCTTGAAGATTGTAAGGCTTAAATGAACGAATCCATCAAATCAGTGGTGAAATAAGAAAATTATTATACATGAAATAAGAAAATTATTGTACATGAAATAGGTTTCATGAAAGTGAAACTGGTTCATGGCGTTATTGAGCATGACTAGTGAAACGGTTGCATAATGTATTTGGTTCGTCATGAAATAATTGAATGATGAAACGGGTACACGAAGAAACTGCTCCAGAATCTTGAAGATTGTAATATGCTTTAGAATCTTTAAGATTGCAAGGCTTAAAGGAATTAATGCATCACACCAGGAACAAAAGGAAGATTATAATTTTGCATGAAAAAAGATTCATGAAAGTAAACTAATCTTGGAAGAAAATAATTTTGCATGAAAAAAGATTCATGAAAGATTGAGTAGGATGTTACCAAATATTAAATTTTATTTACCATTTATGTCCTTACTGTTGAAATAAAATAAATTTTTAATATATATATATTTTTAATTTCCTAAAATAAAGTAAACTAATCTTGGCTATTGATCAAGAAAATGGATGGATGAGATTGGTTTACACGGTTTACATAAATGGGGCGGGTTTTTATTTGAACGCTCATATATATATATATATATATATATATATAAGGGTTAGGTCAAATGACAACCTCAAAAAGGTTATAAACCTATGAGAAGCCACTAATAGTTATTTTTTTGCACTATTTTTTTCATTAAATGTCTGAATTTAAGATATTGTTTACATATATGTATTTCATAATGTGATAATTTCACATGCATTTGTTTTACCATTGTGAATTTTTTTTTTTCGTGAATTCTTTGTTTCACCAAGTGAACCAAAAAAAAGTTCACATGGATGTTTATACCATATGAACACAAACATATGTGAAACAATGAGCTAAAATAATAGTCTTTGATTAAAAAAATCATATAACAAATATTTTTATATCGGTTTTTATAAGTTTTTTACCTTTTTTGATTCTTATTTGATTGTCGTCCTATATATATAGGGCTTAATTTTTTGAAAACTCCAAAATATGTGAGATCCATCCTAAACCACTAATTTCAGATAATTAAAAATTTATTAATTAATGAGATAATTAAGAAGATGATTATCTTTATTTAATAAACTAATGCAATTTTTTAGAAAATTCCATATTTATCTCTTTCTCTATCTACTCTTCTCTCTCTTATCTTTGTATTAACATATACATCGTGCACATGATATAAACAAACTTAATAAATTGTTTAGTTTGGTGTTCACAAGTTTCACATTGTGGTTCACATGTGGTATGTTCAAATTTAGTTTTATTGATTTAGTTTGTATTCACAATTTATACCAGATTTCATAGATTAGAATGTGTTCATGATCTATGCCAGATTTTGTAGATTTATAGTGTGTTCACAAAGTATAATAATATTTATAACGAAGTGTTCATAATGTGCTCACAAACTATAATAGTATTTATAATAAAATGTTTATTTTAAGTTCATATTCAATTATGTGTCACATGTATGTTATTAAGAAATAAGAGAAGAGGAAAGAAAAAATAGGACATGAGAGAAAAAAGAGGAGGAAGGAGAGAGGAGAGATTTTAATTTATTTTAGATTTTCTTTTTTGATATATTAAATTGTATGTTAGTTATTTTATAAATTAATATATATATATATATATATATATATATATATATATATATATATATATATATATATGTTAGAAAGAATATTCAAACTTGAGATGACACCTTTCTTTATGGATAGGTCCACATTACTCCTACGCATTGAGTACATTTAACAAATATAATATTTTTTATATAAGAAGTGTTTATGTTTTTTCGAAGAAAAAAACACATATATAACTGTATAAGATCATCTCCACAAGAACAATTCTAACACAATAAAATATTTTTCTTACTCCCTTTCTTGTTTGGCAAGTAAGAAAACTGAATTTCTATTTGTAGTTTTTTGAGCACTTTCAATAAAATATTTTTCTTACTACCTTTCTTGTTTGGCAAGTAAGAAAACATAAATTTCTACTGTAGTTTTTTGAACACATTTTAGGTTGCATGATATTCAATCAACGATTTTTATCACCCTTGTTTTCCAAAGCATGCACTTCGATTGGTTGAATGATTCATGCATTTTGGAAAGTATGTTTTTTGTTTTCTTGTAATTATTATATTCAAGGTTAATTAAGTGTTACACAGATCATTATACTTTGCTCTTATGTATGCCCTACCTCAAAAGGAACCCCCACCCCCCTCAAGGGAGCGAACAAGTTATTTTATTGCGTTTCATAGCCGTTCCATCGTCCCCCATGCCCCACATCAACTCAACTGGATGTTTAGTTATAAGTTAACCCAAGAGTGAAAACGTGTAATGCCCCACTCTTATGAAAAAGATTAAAGAACTGATATTCAAGGGAGCGGCTTAAGTGTCACTAATTGAAAGCGTTAGTCCAATGATCAACATGCGATGAACTAAAAGTTTTGGACTATGAGTTAGAGTAAGTTAAAGTCGTTTAATTTTAACATGCATAATGATTGTGCGAAAGACTAATTTAGTCGGGGAGGGATTACACTCCCTATTGTGATGCATATTAAGGAAATCGGTGGAAAGCAACTCTCTCTATACCTTTCTCCCGTGTTTGAATCAAAAGCTAGCAAAGAATCAAACTTTTGAGTGTTCTTTTACGAGTCCTTGAAGTTAGAACAAGAACAAGTGAGCAACAACGTTGCAAGAAAAATTGAGAATTAAAAGTTGATTTTTAGATAGACCTTCTTATTAGTGTTCTTTTTATAGTATATGATGTTTATGAATGGTTTAGTGTCGATTTAATGTTTAGTATTAGGATTTAAAAGCCACTGTCTTGGATAACGAAAAATATATATTTTGTTTGACAAACTCAGAATGTAAATGAAATACTGAATATTTTGTGATGTTTGTAAAAATCATAACAGATTGGTCCTTCATCCAAAATAAGACAAATGATATATTTTAGAAACCTATAAGATATTTACTACTTACCGGAAATCTCCATGTTACGACAAACCTGATTTTGGTTGTAAGTATGTCAAAGTTGAGAGTTTTTTAATCCGGTATATGTTAAATAGGCCTATTTGATTATTTTTTTTAGAAATCATATTTCTCCTTGAATTAACTTTTATATCTTTGAAATCGCAAAAGATTTTTCTAAAACTTCTGCTTAATTACATATAGAAATATAAAAACTGCTTTCAAAATATAAGAAATCTTTTGATTTTGTAACAAATTTAATGTTGAAATAATTTAGTTTCAGTTCAGTCGACATGAACATGCATTCTAAAGTAGTGCTTAACAACATTAGGACGAAATGTTAGTACTTGGTTGTCATGAACATTTAGGAAAGTTGAGAGAAGTTATAAGAAACAACACAGGCAAGCCCACACCAAAGTCTGCGTTCATCTGATTTAAAATATGGGATGCATGCCTATATGCAAATACGTTGCAACAAGTGGTACATTTATTAGAGCTATTTGTTATGATATGGTTTATAACCGCATGTTCAACGTGTGAATTTAAGCATTAACAAGTTTTATGCAATGTATGAGATGTTTTGAAGCTCGTGGATTATTTATTGGGAAGCCGATGAAAATGACAGGATATTACAAGTTATATGAAACTGGTTTATGATAGCCAGTAATCCAGTATACGGGTGAGATCCACATCTCTACCTAGTGGAATGATGGCCGATATACATGATACTTGGCCGGTTTTATTGTCGAATTAACCTATCACTAAAATTTGCTCATCATTAAAATTTAAATTTGCTCAAAACTCCATTATTTTTTTTTAATTGGACCACAATACTTAACTTTTGTAGCTTCATATTTTGCCACCATCTCTAAAACTTCTTCAAGAACTTCTTATTACCGATTTGGTACCGGTATAAGTTGTTTATCCAAACAATTAAAAGTGTTTATTAACGATGTCACAACAGAATAAGTCAATAAATTGTTTTTATAAGCAATCTCATACACCCCTTAATATGAAATATTATCTGTTCGCGCGATTTTAGTCTTGTTAAACAAGATGACCAAACAAAGTATTTAAAACGGAATATTTTTGTAAGATGACAACGAAGTTGAAAGGCAATGTCTTTCCTTTTACTTCTCTGACCGTTTCTTTGTGGAAAGAAGGCATGTTTTCTTGTAGGTTATATATAGTTGATTTTTAACTAATATTTCGACATGTTGTTCCCTCCGACAAATAACCTATCGATCGGCTTTCATCGTCATGTTAATGACGAATAAACGGTTGTTTTCGTTATTCCGAGATATTAACGTATTTTCCTGATGGATACAAATAATTATTTAGGAAATTAATTAATCGAAGATATTAACATCAATTAATTAATAACTTGAATATTTATTCAGTCTTAGTAAACAAATAACACGAAATACATGAATCAAAGACGAAGAATAAATAAAATCAATACAGGACTTTGAATTTTGACTTGTCAAAATAAATTCGTACATGGATATATAAAACAATTAATTAAATGAATGAACTGATTAATTAGTTTTTATACACATTAAATTGTACATTTTAGTGTTAATTAATTGATTTTCTCAATATTTTCATTCATCGATTAAATTAATTAATGGCCGATTAATTAATTGTGCTTGTGTTTCTTCTTCTTCCACCTCTATCATGTTCTCGATGATGGCATCGGTGGCGCTCATAAGAAATTCCGGCCAGTCCCTGCATATTATCCGAAAACAATGTTATTTAGTCGAAGTCATCGTTATTTATACGAACTCGTAAACATTTTGAAGAGATGTACGATTATATGACACAATGTGATATATATATATATACACACACACACATAATGCATTCACGCATGTGACTCAAACATTCTTGTACAAGGCTTAATGGACTTCCATAACTAGTTTTCGTCCTAGTTTAATTTTAGATGCACTGTGATTTGTAATGTAAAAATCTTAGATGCATTCCTTGCATTTCTATACTTCATGCATAGTAAACATTGTTGCCTAATTAATGACATTTGTACCGTACAAATCTTGATGCATTTATCTATATTTCATGCAATATGATCATGCATCGCAGACTTGTAATGTACAAGTCTTAATGCAAGTCACCGACTATATATTTTCATGCAATGTAGATGTGTATTGTATAACTTTCTTTGTTTAAACCGGACTTCAATAAATCAAAAAAGAGAAGAAGAAAAAAGAAACAGTGAAATTAATGTAATGTGTGTCTAGTATTCACCCGTTTGATGAATCAAATGTAAGCCCAACAGTGTACTTAGCCTCCTCGAGAGCCGATTTGAACCTATCTAGCTCGTGTTTCGGCGCCCTCCAGTGGTCCTTAACGATAAGCTCAGATGGTTTAACGTCAATGAAAATCGGTATAACCTTCTTCTTAGCCTCCATTATACGAACCAATTCATGCAAGCAAAAATACGATTGACAATACCGGGGAGAAAAAACCGCAACCCCGACTTTACATCCACGGATGGCAGTGTCGATTTTATCGAACAATTTATCCCCTGGTTTCATGTTCTTGCTGTCCAAGAAAGGCCTAAAATTTGACCTCATGAGATGATCATACAGAAGTCCGGCAACGTTTTTCTTTGTGTCAATTCCACGGTGGTTGATAAAAACATCACAAGGTGGCTGCTGGTATGTGAGGGTGGCTGGAGTGGGTGACCTGTGGCAGTGGAGGAGGTGGCGGTAGATATTCTTGGTGGAGGAAACTGAACGTTGCATGAGGGAATTGAAAGAAAGCAACAGATGGAGATGGAGATGGAGATGGAGATGGAGATGGAGATGGAGATGGAGTTAGATTTGGGTTTGGGGGAGATGTGGGTATTAACTTATAGATTTGAAGAATGCAACATATTGGACTGGGACCTTGAGAAAATTATACTACGGGTAAAAGGTTTGAATATTTTGACTCCTTTGGTAAAACCCTCTCGTACGTTCATAAAATAAATATACTAAAAAACAAATATAAAATAAGACTAATAATCTTGTTAATATTATATACATATATTTTTTAAATAATTTATATATCAATTTAAGATCTTCACGTATCTCTTACTTCCATTGTTTTGTATATAATTTACTAAAAATGGTAGATTGTTAATTATATATTTAAAATGCAGAAAATCATAAACTAAACAAAACTTAAACTTACAACTATTATATATGTAATGACTAATTAATTTAAATCAAACTTATTGGAATAGTTTTCATTCATAAAATTCATTTTTCTTTTAATTCCAGTAATTTGAAGAGGATACTGAATTTAGTTTCATCTGTATACAATCGCTATTTTGTTTTACTTTTGATATATATATGTAAAGATATATCGATAATGATATTAATCATCTGGATCAAAAAGAGAAATTGCATCAACGATCGTACTAACAAAAATGAAGGACCATAACGAGAGAGATAAAGATAAGAACTATTCTTTCAATTCATTTCGATTTTGCAACCTATATCACACTCCATATTCTTCTTGTTCCTATCTCTTCCACGTCTCAGACCCGTCTGGTTCCAACTATATTATCAACCATGTCGATTCGAAGTTTCTTGAATTTTTAACATATACTCTTACGTACATACTTCATTTAAAGAATTTGAATAAGACAATATATTTTGGCACCAATCTTGGTACCATCCACTACAACCATTTCTTAAGGATTTTTTAATGACACATATCCTTTGTTATTATAAAATTATGTTGGTTGTGAGTACGTACTATAATTTTTTTAATAGGAAACTGGTTTTAAATAATTGTTAATGTCAAATTAATACTTTTTGTTAATTTGACAGTGAATAATATGAAAGTTTTAAGGTATAATTTCTTGATAAGAAATTGTTTTATGTTACATTATATTTTTTAATATTTTGTAAAATATGTATATCTATAAAAAATGTTTATATAGTTTACTAAATGAAATTTTGGTTATAAAGAAAATAGAAAGAGTGTGATCGGTTAATTAATATTGATATAATTTTTTATTTATTAAATTATAAATTTAACATCATATTTGATTTTCTTATAAATTTTAACATCAATACAATAACGAATATTCAAAAAATGCAAAATACAATTTATATTACATATAATAAAATATATTACATAATAAAAATACAAACATAATACAAATAAAACTACATCATATTCTTCATTCAAAAGTCCTTGAAGTTCATGGTTGTACAATATCTCTTATGGTTTAGGGGGTGTTTGGGATTGCTTATTTTATCTGCTTATTGACTTATTTCAGTCTGACACCGGTGATAAGCCAATACCTAGTGTTTGGATAAGAAAAAAGAAAACTGCTTATACCGGTGCCAAACATGTAATAAACAGTTTTTGATAAGTTAATCCGTCATGACTTATGAAAAATTGCTTATAACCAGTTTACCATTTTAACCCTATTACCCTTTATACCTATCTCTTTTCCTCCAGGTAATAAGCAGTTTTTGATAAGTTAATTTCATGATCCATTTAAATGGGGTATGTTTAATATATTTTTTTTTGTTTTTTAATAATAAATCAAATAAATGTAAATAGATTACAACTATATCAATCATTAAAACATTTAACTTTTCAAGGCATAATTACAAATATTTATTTATTGAATCAAAAATATTTTACGAGTTAAAATGAAATATTTTATTTAATTACTGTATTTACTTTATAATAATTATTTAATTACTAAATTATGTGGTATTAAGTTATAGTTGAGAATATTTAATTATAGTTTTGTTTGTATTTGATTAAAATTTATGATAAAGTGTTATTTAAAAAATTGTTAAAAAATCATTGTAACGAAAAGTAATTTCTAAAGTTAATCATGACACATAAAAAATTATGTTAGAAACTATATTGTAATAAAATTTTCTTGAGACCCAATGTCCTATGTAGGAAGAGTGATCTAATGGTGTCCATTAAGAACCTACACATTGTCATTCCTAATTTTAATGAATACTAATTTATGGCATCGTGTGTTATGCGTTGACGAAATTTTTTGCTTGGAAATATATAACTATGCTAAGATAAAATATAATTCATTGATTGACAATTAATATAATGTAATACAATGAATATAATAGGGGTATCTTAAATGTAAGTTATTTGGAAGATGCAGATAAAACAAATAGCGTTCCAGTGTTGAAGTTAATTAAGCTTGTATGGTAATAATGGTTAGAAGCAAGTGTATACGCCAATACTAAGAATAGCGATGACCTGGATGTATGCAAAATTAATATTTCCAATTTAGCTTTTAAAGCTTGTTTTGCAACCAAATTTATCAAAGGACATCAAATTAAAAACTTGATTGAAGTTAATTGCATTTATACCAGAAAGCCTATCTAAAGAAACCAACAAAATATGATAAGTTAATGTATTCTATACACTACAAAAATGTTGGGTATCAGCGAGGGAAAATTCCCTCGCTGATCCGTCGCTGAAAG